CTTCTCTCTATTTGGCCACTTGGTGTCCTCTTGGTACCAAGGAAAAGCCTATAAATAGAACTCATTTCCCAAGGTTCAAGAAGAGGAATTTTGGAACTTTGGGGAAATGCTGCCAATTTGTGCACTGCCATTGTCTTCTTTTTGAGCTACCTGCTTCACCTTCACCTAGCCGCTCACTCTCCAACTTCTCAGACAGTTGTTGTTGCCCATTCTCTAGTCATTCCACCACTCTTGGACCATTAGCATAGTTTTTGCCTCTCTAATCATCTTCCTAACCTTGAACCCCTCTACATTTCTGACGACTCTACTGGGGAGGCTGTTCTGTTGATGGTTCATACCTGCAGTGGTTTACACACTTCACTAGAAAAAATGGCTGAGGATGAAGTTCAGTAACCCCCACGGCAGCAAGGCTATTCCAATGGCGGGGCAGCACATGCGAAGGACCGTGACCATAGTGTTGTAGTTGAGGCAGTCCAGTCACTCCAGGACACACAGAGGGAAATCTTGGCAGCTTTGAAAACTCTCACTGAGGCTATTATGGCCATGGCGTCCAGACCAGCCGCAACGTAAGCACCTTCACCTGTAACAGTCCCAATCCTAGTGCCTACCTTCTTCCCTGAGGTTTGGGCTCCAATCCAGGTGCCTCCGGTGGTACCTCAGGTGAACGGTATGGCCGCTGGTTTAACTACCCGGGAGCAGACTGGACCATTCTAGCCCACTCACTTTGTTACTCTAGCTGATGTACAAGTTATGCTCGAGTAGAAACGTTGCAAAAAGAAACTACCATCTCTCCCCAACCTAGAAGTGAAACCCCTATACTCTCAGGAGATATTGACCATGCCATACCCAACTGGGTATGCAGTGCCCAAGTTTATTAAGTTTGATGGGAAACAAGGCAATGTCAGAGAACACGTTGTGAGGTTCATTGAAACTCTTAGTGTCTATGGCAGTGACCACTCTTTGCACCTTCAGAAGTTCTCCAAATCATTTACTGAAAGGGCTTACAGTTGGTATGTGAACTTGGCTCCCAACTCGATCTAGAGTTAGGAGGAGATAGTGAACAAGTTCCACACAAAGTTCATCCAAGTCCAAGAGAAAGTTACAACCCTCACACTTGGGAGAGATGTCCAAAAAGAAGGTGAAGATATACTGGATTATGTTAAGCAGTTCCAAGATAAGGCTATTGACTGTCATGAACTAGTGGATGAGGCCCATTTAGTCAGCAAATGTGTGGAGGTGCCATATGTGACTACAAAATTTTCTTGGTGAATCATAATTTGCCTACCTTTCTAGCATTGGTTTAGGCAGCTAAGAACCTCAGTACCACCAGTCCTCTACATGGATCTCGTGACAATCACCGCTACTCCCGCAGTAGCAGAGTTACTGCGGTAACCTTTGCAAGAAGGAACCGCTCGTAAGGGGAGGCGTCATCCTCTCGAAAGAGGAAGAGTTATGAGGACAAGAATCCATATCCTTGCAGCCTTGAGAATGTTAAGGCCTTGGTTAAAAAATGGGTAGCCCATGGTGAACTTACTTTGCCTTCGGTTGATGTCCCTCCAACAAAAAAGGACAAAGAAAGCCCATATTATTGTATCTTTCAAACAACCACCAAACACCCTACTAGAGACTGTTGGACTTTGAAAAGTGTCTTCAAGAAGAAAGTTGACGCAAATCAGCTGAAGTTCAAAGATGTCGGTAATCGTGATGTAAGGAAAGACCCTTATCCTAACCATAAAGAGAAGGGGAAGAATGTACATATGATTAAGTACCTAGGGCCCGTATGCGATCAAGTGCACATGGCATCCTACTATGATGAGTTAGAAGAGGACACTCATGCTAGCGTCCAGCTCCTTGAGACAGTACCTGCAGAGGCAAAATTTGCAGAGGATACTCACACTTAGGCCTTGCAAAACTCTATTAAGTTTCGCACCTTCTTTGACCAGCTGGGGCTGAGCCAAGCCGCCAAGTTGGAAGCAACAAAGGACCTCATTAACATTGCCGAAGTCCACTATGTCGAAGTTGCTGAGGCCGAGGAGTATGTGCCTCGGCGTATCTAGGAAGATTATGAGGCCATTACTTTCTCAGAAGCAGACAGAGCATACCCATTTCCTCATAACCGTTCTCTTTTTGGCATAGCGTACATCAATGATGTAGAGTTCAAGCGTGCTTTCCTCGATGGCGGGGCGTCTATAAACATCATCACTACTGACACCTTTGCAAAGGCTGGTATCTCAGAGTCCAAGATGGTTTGCCAACCCATCACCGTGACGGGTTTTGGCGGTGAGAAGAAAGTTACTAAGGGCCATGTTATTGTGGACTTAGCAGTTGGTGAGAAAGTTACTAAGGGCCATGTTAATTAAGTTCCATGTGATTGAAGCGGACACAAATTACCATATGATACTTGGCAGAGCTTGGATGCACCGATATGGGGCTATCTTGTCAAGTTATCACCAATGCGTGAAGGCAAAGTTGGGAAAGCGCATAGTAACCATAAATGCGTCTAAAAAGCCATTTGGAGTGGAGGAGGCACACTATTCGAATGCAGTTTTCTTTACTGAGTTTTCAATGGATGAAACACCAAGGACAGGTAAAGTTACAATGGTAAAATCGTCGAGGTGGGAAGACATTTGGGATGTTGAGGCTACTTTAGAAAGTAATGGGCAGAAGAAGAGCAGCAAGTCCACAAGTCCTCCACCCAAGATTGTTAAGGGGCGCGAGGATGACAAGACAGTTTACTACCTATCCCGTGTTTATCAGCGATACAATGGCTCCAGCAACTAAGGCAGAATTGATAACACTACTGAAGTGGTACAGTGACGTCTTTGCCTGGACATACGACGAGATGCCTGGTCTTGACCAATCTCTTGTCACTCATCAACTGGACACTTTTTCCAACGCTATGCCAATCAAACAGCATGCTCGAAAGTATCACCCTAATCTTGAAGCAAAGATTAAGGCAGAGATAGAAAATTTGTAGAGGGCCAAGTTCATTGAGCCTATACAACACCCAACTTGGTTAGCAAATATTGTGCCT